TACATTTTCACTAAAGAAAATATCGGATTTTCTTGAAACTATACAAACATTTCTGCTAGCTCATTAACAAGTTTGCATTACAAACTACTGCTTATGAACTCACCAGCTTTATGCTGATATTTTTCAAACTGCTTGTATTCTCAGGAAATCAGTAGACAGGTACCTGCTGGATTTTGAGGAGTTGAAGCAATAAGAGTTTATGTTTATATTCATACAAACTATATGATGTAATCCAAACAAGTTTCAGACGATTTCCAGATTGATGTAAACATTTTTATTTAAGTATTCAATGTGATGGTTGTGTTGCTATGATTGCTATTATACATTGGTTGTGATGCTACACATGACGTCCTCCACCCCAGAACGTTTCCGCCATTTTTGGTTTTGGGGTGTGACATTAGTTTAGCAAGAGAAACAAACCCTAAGTGTGATTTTTGATGGATGTTGACTGTACAGTGTTCGATCTGTTCTCACGACCCGACTGCGCACCACGACGTGGAGCACTAGCCCACGTTGTGAATCCTAGGCGAACAAAATGTTGTTTCGTTTTTTTAATACTTTGGGTGTTTTGTTTGGTTTTGGTTTGTTTGTGATTTCAGGTATGGCTCCTAGACTTGCTGTTCAACAGGAGGAGAACGACCCGATCGATGTGGCGAGCATTCACCCATTGTATCGGTTTCCACGGAACATTTCTCGGGCTTTGTTGACCACATACGAAAACCGTTTGGGATGGCTTTATAACAGGGAGTTTGCAATAACACCCATTGTGGATTGGGGATGGCTGCGTGGTGCGGGCATGGTTGCTGAGTTGGAGAGGTTTTGGACAAAGGTTTACGAGGGGGTTGATTTTTTTTTTATATGTCACTGTTGGAGGAACTTGTTTACTATTCAAGAACCTGTTTATCGGGAATTGTCGGTGGAGTTTTTGTCTACCGTAAGCTTTGAGGAAAGGACTATGGATTTTGATTACAACCGGGCGCTTGTTTTCCGGTTGGGTGGGGTTATCGCGAGTGCAGTCTTCGCGAGTTCGCATGGCACATGGGCCTGTACACGGAGGTGGAAACTCAATCTCCATTTTTTGTGCCATTCTTGCTTGGATGTGTTCGGGATTTTACACCCGACACTTTCGATGCCCAATTTTGGAGGACTATCTCAAATCACACGTATGATTCTCGTGATTCTAGTGAATCGCAGATTCGGAATCCCGTGTATCGTTTTCTTCATCGCCTTGTCACATTTTCTATCAATCCAAGCACCATGGTGATAAGGTTTCCCTCCATAATTTGTTTTACTTGTGGAGTATTATCACTCCTGGGGTTTGTTGCGACCTTCCCTACATGCTTGCTCGATTTTTGGGGAAGAAGGCGGTTAATTCTATGCCCGGGAGTCCGATTATGGGTGGACATTTTGTCACCCGCCTTGCCCGGTCGTACAATATTTTGACACCTAATTTTGTTCGGAACCTTACCCGATTTCCGGGCAATGATTTGACAATTCAAGTGTTGGGGGTTACGAGAGTAGTGGTAAATGTCGGGGGAGGGTATGTTATACCCCCGGAGGATGATGAGCAACAAATGGAGCAACCCGAGCAACAACCTCCACCGAGGCCCAGAAGGCAGAATGTTAGAGCCCCGGGAGACGTGGAGAGAGATCGTCAAGCAGCGCAACAATATGAGGGTGGAGTACCCACCGACCCATTTCAAAGTCGGGTTGGTTCTTACTTGGATAATCTTCGCGGTGGGATGTCTTATAACACCCAACTTCTTGAAACCATGTTTTCTCACATGGCTGTGGTTCGACCACCTTCCGTGCCACCGCAATGCCCATACATACCTACTTGGGAGGAGCTTTGGATACCGAGGGGAGATGGAGAAGGACCGAGTGGAGCTCAAGGACGTGAAGATGATGATTGATCGCTTTATTTTACTTTTTATTTGGTTTTTAGTTTTTATTAGCTTTTGTTTGATTTGGAACTTAATTTGGTTTGTAAGACTCGTTAAATTATTATGTTACTGCTATCTTTCCTTTGGTTGATATATTTCAGATTTGCTACGGAGTCTAGGGAAGGAAGTCGGGAGTTATGAGCGTTTATGTTTAGCCAAAGGTCGTTTAGAGTTTCAAGTCAAGAGTTGAGACCCACAATTGGAAATAAGTGTGGGGTGCGTCAATAAGAAAGTATGAAGTCAGAAAGGGTCCTTAAAATACTAAATTAGAAGGGTCTTAACCAATTGAGACATTGGTAAAAATTCCAAAGTTGAAAGAAAAATGGGAAAATTATAGCCCAGTTTTCACGACGTGGTTCAAAATTTCACGTCGTGAATCGCAACTCAGTGGAGTTTTCAGAACGCGTTTTAAGCGAAACCACGACGTGGCTATTCTACCCACGACGTGATTTCTAATTTTTCAGAGAAATAAAATCCATTGATGCATTTTACTTTGGCTTGCCATGGTTCTTCGTGGGATCATTATGAAGACAATTATGGCTAGTTTCCTCTACCATACAATGTGGCGTATGCTTTCCCACATTATTCTACACGCTTTGGAGATTTGCATCCACCCTTATGGAAGATTGAAGTTTCGATTAGTTGCTTGTTGGCTCATTCACATATTTCGCGAGTTCAAGGTCCAAGTTTCGATTTAGAAAAAGTCCATATTCGAGATGCACATTTCATCCACACGATTGGAGTTCGATCACGCCACTATCCCAGGGGAGTCTGTTCCTTTTTCTCCCTTTTATTGCTTTTATTTAGTTTATGCATATAATGAGGGCATTGTATGAAATAAGTGTGGGGTAGGAGGTCGAAAAAGTAATTGCTTAGGTTGCTAAAAGTAAATTGCTAGAATTTAGTAGAATTAAAAATTTGGATATAGATTTGAAATAATAATCTAGATAAAAATTCTAGTAATAATGATAATCTAAAAACTTAAGTTGCTAGTGTTGTGTGGGATGATCCGATGAGGGCTCAAATAGTTAGTTGAGCCAATATACGTTATAGTGCATTTGTGGCCTCCTTTATTCTAGTGAAATCATGGGACAAAAACACAACCTCACTTAGTTTGAGGGATGCAATATGTTTAGCAACCTGTACTTGAAATGTATCGAGGAAAACTAAAACCTTAACCAATAAAGGTTGAAGTTAAGCGCCCCTGCTTAAGCATGTAGGTTTTGAGTGGAAAAAGTGAGATATTTATAAAAAAAAGAGAGAGAAATTACCAAAAAGTGAAAAATTGAAGAATTTTTGGAGCTATAGAAGTATCAAAGTTGAAGATCAAAGATCAAAAATTCTGAAAAATCAAAGTTGAAGATACAAAAAATCATACAAAAAGATGGTGAATTCAAAGAAATTGAAGATCAAATATCGAAGTAGTGAAGAATTCAAGAAGCTCTATTGTGGTATCTTAAAAGTTGTAATTCTCTAGTTTATGTATGCTTGGGTAGCTTTTCAAAAATACCTTGAGGTTAGAAATTTTTCTGCGGATGGATTCGGAGGGATGCATAAAATGAGCATTGTTCAAAAGAAGTGGACGAGTGTTTGTGAGGATTGTGAGTATTTAGAATTGAGGGGGGTTATTTAGGAAATATTTTAGACACAAATGCACGCGTTGAGGTCTTGGCATAATGGATGAGTTTGAGTTGGATCGTTCTATGTGATGTTGGTGATAAATGTTTAATTTAAATATAATCAGATTTGCTTGAGGGCAGGGGTAAAATGGTCATTTTACCCTAGGATCAGTTATCAGTTTGTGACTAAGTGTCTTTATAGAAATTATAGTCGGGGAGTCGCCGGAGCAGCAGACAGAGATTTCTCACCGAGAGTTGCAGCAGTCAGTCACACGAGGTGAGTTTTCCTCCAGTAGGAACGGGTCTAAGGCACCAATGCCGGCCCGTTTAAGTAGTAGTGTATGTCGGGGTAAGCCCGATGCCCGGGGTAGCCCGATGCAGTTTATATGTTTCCGGACTTCGGTCCGATGCCGGGGCGGTCCCGGGAAGTAGTTATGTATGCTTGATGTCTTTGTGATTTATGCATGTTTATGTGTGACGTGTTATGTGTTCCGGACTCCGGTTCGATGTCGGGCAAGCCCGATACAGTATATGTAAATATGTTATATGTTATGTGTTCCGGGGTAAGCCCGATGCATATTATGTGATTATGTTAATTGTGTTTATGATATATGTTATGTGATGTATGTTCCGGGGTAAGCCCGATGTCGGGGTGAGCCCGATGCCAGATGCGGTCGGATGCCGGGGTGAGCCCGATGTCGGACAGGAGTCCGATGCCGGGTAAGCCGATGCCGGGATTCGTCCTGATGCAGTTGGGAAGAGTCCTAGAGTTACGTTATTTGTTACATGTGTTTTGTATGGTATGTGGTAGTTTGGGGGAGCTCACTAAACTTCATGCTTACAATTTCAGTTTTGGTTTCAGGTATTTCAGCTTGTAAAGGGAAGAGCTCGAGCTGATGACATGACACACACACCACAGTTGATTAGCCTGTGAGTTTACTCTGATATTTGTTATGAGACTGTATATGTTTATCAGATTTTATGAGTTTTTGAGATACATGTTTTATGGTTTTACATTATGGCAATGATATCTATGTTTGATAAATGATTTTGAAAACGAAATTTTTGGCCTCGAAATTTGGGATGTTTCACATTGTGTGTTAAGATGAGATAGGGAGAAATAATATGAATAAAATGGGTGGGTAGGGTTGGAATGACATAAGATGGGATATGGGGTTGCTTACCCATTTTCCTTTTAATGAAAAATAAAAATAAATGATAAATAAATTAAAAAGAAAATTGGTAAGGTTTGTTAAGATATTAAGATCCTTGGTTTGAGTATGAAATAACATGAGTGTTCATCCAATTCTCTCAGACTAGGGTTCTCATACCAAATTGTAATGTCTCCATTTTTAACCCAAAATTTTCATACTATGGATGGCGGAAGTCTTAGCGGAAGTCTTAAATATTTTTTATACTATGATGGCGGTGAGTCTGTAACCGTTCAACACTTAAACTTTCAATATCAGCCGTAATAACTCAACATTTACGGTTAATCAGAGGTTCCAGCCGTTTTCATCTCCTCCGTACGCTTCCTTCTTCTTCCCCCTACATTCACAGTCGGTTGTATCGTTCCACAACCGTTCAATCGGTTTCTTGCCTCCTACAACCACATATAGGCGACCGGTTTCTCATGGTAGTTCTTACCACGTTCATCGATCAGTTTCTCAAAGTATACAACCCACCACATGTTGGTCAATGGGTTCTCCTTCTTCGACCCAGTAAGACAATAACCACATAATCAACGCTCCTGATTATTCATAAATCGCACAACCACGTTGTCACTTACTTGGCCATATATAACACTGATTCCCATCTTTATGTGCCATTTACTAAATTTGGGGTTCACCTGTGCCATAAATGGATTATGGAGCCTACATCGCATAACCTAGAAGAACAGCAAGACAAGGTAATTTTGTTTCTTGAATAGTTTTAACTGCATCTGTCAATTTAAGTTCTTATTTGTAGTTGAATTTATGGTTTCTAACCATATTCCTGCAGAAGTACGAAGCTTTTACATAGAACAAGATAGATAAGATGAAAGTCTCCAAGTTACCGAAGGTTTCACCATGAAGGAAAATCCCAGATGTGCATCAGATGCGGACAAACCAAAAGCTGACTCCGATTGTGCAAGTATGGAAATAATCGAGTTTAGCCAGCACTTTCAGCCCGTCACCATGACTCTCACCACTATCAAACGCCTCAAGATTATCAGGTAACACTATTTGATCACATATTTGCGCTTCTCTCTCTCTCTCTCTCTCTCTCTCTCTCTCTCTCTCTCTCTCTCTATTACACACACACACATTTATTCCCTAGACTGAATTTTCACCACACAGATGCACCCGATTTCTATCTATCTATCTATCCGGTTTGCAATCAAAGGCCACCACTCACCTCAAAGGTATGAATGATCTGCTTCTTTGACGTTTGTATTCCCTTTTTGCCCTGTTCAATGTTTATTTAGATTAGTTTTTCATTTGATTGGATGGTTTCTATATGGTAATAGTTAATGAGGATGTGGGAGTTGATGTATTTTATAATGCATACAAAGTGTTTGATGGAATGCCTAAGTGAAATACCCCTCCAAGACCCTAAAAATTTATATTTAGTTTTATTTAAAATAATTTTTATATCATATGAAAATCTGAATCTGAGAAAGAAAGTATTAACAACTTTATAGATGGTAGTTTCCATATTTTCCTATTGGTCAACATCAATGTATGTCTATGAAATACAAAGATTTGATGAGAAAATATCTAAAATAGCAATGTACTTACCATTGTTTGTTTTCTGGTGTAAGCAACACACTTTCATTTATTTGTGTATGATAAATTCACAAAACAAGCTACATACTTTCATTTATTTGTGTCTTATAGCATCATACTTTCATTTCATTCTATCACAAGCTTATGCTTCCTATTTTTTCTTATTAAGGTATTGTACTTTGAGAAATCTACCAAATCATAGCCTTATACTCTCATTTTCTTTTATTGACTGGACATTATATTTTGAAAAATCTATCAATTATAGCAGTGAAAATAAAATTGCTATAAATTGGATAGCTTTTCAGTAAAAGATAAACAAATGACATGCATTTGGTGAGTTGATCCATTTAAAACTACTAATAAGCTAATAACTATATGTATACGCCATACAGTTCTTTGTTGAATTTCACAAACTAGCTGATGCAACAATTCATGATTTAATAGAGAAAATAGAGGTAATATTTTTGGTGTAAAGTCCTTCAAAAAAATTTGATGTTCGTATCTGCAAGAATTAAAAATCATCCATTTTGATGAGTGTTTTTCAACCTTATTTAACATAACAGGAATATGGTGATTCTATTGACATTGATGGTTTTGACATAGACTATGGGGTTAGTTATGACATATGATGATAAATTAATTTTCTTTAATTTGTTGATCAGTTATTTATGATAAAATTTTGTTTATGGAATTTAATTTACAGAACCAAATTTTAACCGTGAAGTTTGGTGATTTGGGAACATATGTGTTGAACAAACGGATTCCAAATAGACAGATTTGGATGTCTTCACCTGTCAGGTACCAACCAACTCCTATTCTTTCTTTTTTTATTAAAAGACCAAAATACCCTCGGTATAAGAAATTGGATACAGATGATACACCATGATCGATTACCTTCTCCCTTGGAACATATATGTAAGCTTAAATTTTCAGCTAGCCTTACTTAATGCCCATCCTCAGATATATCCTGCACTTTCTTGGTTCTCTTTTCTGTAAGAGCAATGTACTTTCAGACTTTTTTTTAATACCATTGTATTTACATTTTTGCTTTTTACAACTTTGAATTTTAAAGCTAAATCTTACTAATAAATTGTACTTTAATCAACGGCTATTAATTCTGGATTATTATTTAAAAGTACACTGTTACTTAGAGTCTAACATGTCAACGATAATTCCTATTTTTTGTTGGGGCTGAAAAGTTCACTGCTGTTTTTGGATCTCATGCCTTATCATTTTTAACAATAATGTCAACAAACTTGTCATTTTTAACAATAATAGCAGTAAATATTGCACATGATCGAGATAAGTATGTTGTTATTACCATTGGGATGTGAGCTTGTAAGATATATTCTGAAATGTATTATATTGATTGAATTTAGCATATAGATTTTATATAATGTTTACTTGTATATGCATGTTTTAAACTGAAATGAATGTATTCTTTGAATTAAATATATTTTTGTTAGTTTTCAAAGAATTGTCTTGGTGTCGTTTTGCGGTTAGTTAATTAACCATTTTCTCTTACATCTGATTAATTTTGGAAAAAAAAAGAAGAAACACTTTACATTATCTTTGTTTTCTTTCGAAAGCCATCTATCTTTAATATCATTATTTGTAACATCTGACATTCGGTTTTCATTTTTACTGTTTTTGTTTAATTGATCAAATTATGTGCTTCGTCTGAAAATCAAACTCATTTGCCACAATGTTGGTGCTTGCTGCAGCGGTAAAAAAGCATTTTCTCTTGTGGGTAATATATTTAGGATAAAGCTCCCATCTTTTGGACATTTGTTAATTTTGATATCTTTTTCATCAAAATATTGGAACAAAAACTAGATTGTGGCTGAATATGTTAAGAATAATCTGTTGGCAATACGAGTTATTAGCAAGCATCAAGTTGTTGCTAAGGTAAGGGCATGTTTCTTAATTTTTTCCTTATTATGTGATATGGAAAAATTGTTGTATGGGTGAATCATAAATGATGACTTTCATGATAAAATACTTAATGAACAAAATTGTTTTTTTTTTTCACTGAACGAAATTTTTAGATGATAATAATAGATCACTTTACCCCCTATCTACAAACGATTCTTACCAAACGATACTTTTTGGATGATAGCAAATGACCACTTTACCCTTTTATCTACAAATTATTCTTACCAAAAAAATAATTTTTAGATGATATTAAATGACTACTTCACCCCTCTATCTACAAATGATTTTTACCAAACAATATATTAAAAATTATTACAAAAGTAAAAGTGTAACTAACAAAATTCAACAGAATTTTTGAAAATTAAATTAAAGTAAACAGTACTCACGTTATACACTATAAATAACATCACCATTTAAAATGTATATGTAAAATTAAAAATCATCCTTTTAAATATATATATATATATATATATATATATATATATATATATATATATATATATATATATATAT